TTTTCCATATCAGTATAATTGACTAAATTGTAACTTCGGACTGGATTCAGACTGAAGCTTCAAATCTGCAGCGGTGAGAAGGCATAGAACGGAAATTGAGCCTCGTCCTCATCCACAAAGAAACACTGGAAGTAGGGCAGCTCTTCTGTGGAGGGAGTCACAGGACGGTACAATTTACTACAGTTCAGTTCAATATGTTACTCGCCTCTCTCTGCTATGTGGTCAGGAGAGCGTCTAATTTGCACACTTGTGTGATATTTTGGTTACGAGAAGGGAATTTGGACTTACCCTCCATAAGAATGCTGTCTGATACAGAAGGCTCTACTATCAAAAACAAAACAAAGTTAACCATAAAACAATATAGTGTTATATTACCTTAAATTACAGCTCCACTATACCTTTTATTTTTTCCTCCTTAGCAACCTTCTTCTCAGCATTTCTTTCTACAACACAAAGAGGAAATTTTGTGAGTAAATAAAGTAACGCTCCAGTTTTATTTTTAGAACACAGAATTTAGTTGCCATACCTTTCTTTACAGGCTCTTGTATCTCTTTAAGAACCCTGTCCTCTGTAAATAGCAACACAAGATTAATAACTGTTATTGGTCAAAGATTCAAACTGGTTTCTGACAGACTACAACTGCTTGTGGTATTTGTTTTATATATTTCACACAGACATTTTGCTAATTTGATAATGTTATTGTGCAGTGCTCATTGGACACCATACCTTTAGCTTTATCTTCTTTGTCTGCCTTCTTCTCAACTGTTTTTTCTAAAAATAAATAAATAAAGCTTGATGTTATCCATGAATATTTCAGATCTACAGTAGTAGGTGTATGTGTCTGGTCACAAAATCAATCAAGATCCCTTTCTTTAGAAGCCCTGCTTTTTCTTTGAGAACTCTGTCCTCTGCAATAAATCACACATTTTCCATACATTTACAGCCCATTGTGGATTTATTGCTACTTTTAAATGCTTCCCAAAGCTGATTGTATGCAGTACCTTTCTTTGCTGCAGTGGATTTGACCTTTTCTTTTAAAACCTCACGCTCTCTTTCACAAATATGAAACAAAGACAATTTGGCAAGAAATGGACAATTACAATATTGCTGCATTGCTAGAAACAAGTAATGTTTCAGAATAGTGATTTATTTTACCCCTCAGGGAAAGTACAAGGGCTTTTCTTTCTTGCTCATATATTCAGAAAGAAAATGCAGATGATAAAACACACAGTTCCTTTGTGGAAGTATTTCTGGCAATAGAGTTATAGCATGCATACTAGACTATAAAACCTCAGTAAAATAGCCTCAAATGCATCACTAAATTAACTGTTGACACACAAAGGTTTTACTAGTATTCTTGCATAATAAACTGATGTAAATTATGTTCATATGTAAAATGATAGTTGTTTGTACCAAACACCGTACCTTTCTTCAGTGCAGCAATTTTGTCTTTTTCTTTAGGACTCTCCAGTTCTGCAAAAGGAAAACTAACGTCACATGTGGGCTATTGGGACACACAGAAACTCAGAAGCAGAAACCACAATTAACTCATTTTTCAAACAATGCATATTGCAGCTTGAGCCACAGCATTACCACGACAAAAGTGAATTTCTAAAAGCTTAAAGCAGCTTGCACAGCACAGGGAAACTACAACTAGAAAGCTGCAATTAGTGTTATAAAATTCATTTATGCTGAGCAGAGTAACACTATTGATTTATGCCTTTCCCATTAGAGACTTGTTTTGGCTTTTCTGCAATACACAAGTGTGCTTTCAATTGTGTGTTTTTGTGTATGCATCTTATGATTGTGGGCAAGAAGCCTTTATATACTTTTATTTGTAGGTGCTGATTTTGCTTTTCTCCTCAAATGTAAAATAGACATACTGTATGTTGCTATTTACCGTAGTAGCTTTTATTTAGCCTAAACAGAGGTTGTATTGGGTGGAATCGTCTATTCTAGAGCAAAGGGCTCTAGAGCATCCAGATGTGTTCCACACATTTCAATACTTATAAGACATTGTTAATGTTTAGTGGGTTGAAAAGCCTTTACTTTGGAATCTCAGCTCTTTATGGCTGACATTTTAGAAAGTAAAAAGGTGGGTTATAAAAGCTTAACAGAATCTTTGTAGTCAGTGATTTGCAGATCTACCAACCACACTTGTCTAAACAAGCACACAGTATTCATGACGTGCACTGTACCGAAAAAGCTGTTTGCAAATGGAGCTGCTACAAAAAAAACCACTCTCCACTGACTGTGCATAACGTTCTCCACAATCATGTATTGTTGATCTCACAAGAGGTTGTTTCCCTTGTGAGCAATCCAGCCAGAAGCTTGTACAGAATACAGTGACCTACATTTCATTATGACATCGCTGTCACCACAATCCCACACTGGTTATATGGATTATTGCTTCTGTTGAAGCACTACTAATGTACCTTTCTTCACATGGACTGATTTGGCCTTTTTCCTCAACAATGCTGGGCCATCAGAGAAGAAATGCCATTAATTTGTAACAATGTTTGCCTTATAATAACAGCACATTTAAGGAAAATGCCCTACTGAACCATAGCATGGATACTTTTGCAAGTCAATTAAAAGGTTTGCATCTGTCACCAACCATGACAATGTAAGATGTAAATATTGTTGTTTCTGCACCTTTAATAATAGCTGGTTTGACTTTTTCCTCTGGTACTTTGGACTCTGAGTAAATAAGCATGTAAGCATTTATTAATATTCAGTAAATAGCTTTGTTGTTATCTAGTGTAGTAACAAGTTATGGTTGCTACAGTATACTACAGTACTAGAATATACACTTAGTTGCCAGTTTAAAAGCAAATGCAGTATAAAAAACAAATTAACAGCACCACAAACTACATCCTCAAAAATGATTATATACAATTGAATCAACACCTCCATAAAATAGTTTCAACAATAACTGAACATTGTAACCTTAGTGAAGGTAGGATTTATTACAGGACTGTTGTATTAGACAGCAGTATTTTTAGCTGGGTGTACCTAATAATCTGGCAACTGAGACCCCAGAAAGACATCTACAGGCAGATGGCAGTGGTAGGCTACCTTTTTTCTTTAGGAGAGATTTGATCTTTTCCTTCTTTGTTTCAGCCTCTGTTTTAGAAGGAGCTAATTCAATTGGAAAAAGATTTAACTTCTGAATTTGCACAATTTCAAAATAAATAGTTTTAATTAAATATTTACCTTTCTTTTCAAGAGATGGCTTGGGTTTCTCCTTTGTAACCTCAGGTGCTGAGTATAACAGGATTAAAACAATTTGAAATTTGTGGATAGTTAGCTTTATGCCAAATAAGGATGGATTATATCTGCATTACCTTTTTTGGCAAGATCTGTCTTGGCCTCAGGTTCTAAAGAGAAAGAAGAAAAAAACAAATGGTGTGATGATTTTTGCTTTTTGATAAGTGACAGATGCACGAACTATCTGCTGACATTATATCACGCTTCTTGAAGATATTTGCTATTAAGCTTGAGAAACTTGTCCGGTCATGCATGGATGTTACATATTTTTAATCTGAGAAGTGGAAAATGTACCTACGCTATATTCTATGGAATATTAGAGACAGAAGGTACAACTACACCTTTCTGCGAGGGTTTTGCTTTTGCCTTTTCTTTCAAAACAGCTTCTACATTCAAAGAAACAAAGGGAAAATGTCACAATATCTCTGTTTGAAAAGCTACAAGCCTAGAAATATTTTCATGCAATGCAGCTTTTAGCTTAAAAAAAGCATGTCATCTGTGTGAAAAACATGGATCCCCGAAAAGTTCTTGGCCTTTAAGTCTTTTTTATGTAATGACAATTTGTGAGCTTGTAGTGAAGCATGTAAAGGTTCAAGTCAAGTTTAAAAGTGAAAATGACTACTGTAACAACAACTTTTGGGTAATCACAGAAAACATTTCCTCAACATGTCTAAAATTACATTAACATCACTGTTTTCAGTCATTATCATGTGGCAGTGAAGCAGGTAGTCTGGGTGAGCATTTCATCTACAGCAACATGCTAGCCACTAAATCACTACAGAAACACACTTCTGCTGCATACCTTTCTTCTTTTCAGTAGATCTAGGTTTTGCTTTGGTAACAGGTGCTAGAAAAATACATGGCCCTATTAATTCTAATGTATACAGTAAGATGATAAACCACAAATAAACAACAGCTGCAAAACTACAATCTGATTAAAAGTGAAAGAGAGACAACATCAAAGACAAAGCTTTTGTGGGAGTCACTGGCTCGGCCTTCTTCTCCCTGAGAGCCTCAGCTTTAAATTAATAACGAAAATATCATAGTCAATTTGGCCATTTCCAGCATTTTGTGTCATTACAATGTTTTTATGTTATGTTATTACAGCTAATTTACAAGTGATGCAGTTTTTTTACACACTCAAATTCCTGACAGCACATGATTCAAGTATCCAGACTTAAAGAAGCAGACTGTCAAAATAAATAAATAGTACACATATCATATATTAATTAAGATATCAACATGGATGATGTTTGATTGTTGACTGTAACTACCTTTTTTCGTTGGTACTGGTTTGACTTTCTCTTTTGGAGTTACAGGCACTATGAAAGAGATAATATGGCTGTGAATTGGTTTGAAAAGAATAGAAAAATGAAATGCAAAACACCAGTTTTGTAAAACTCAAAACTCATAAATGGATGTTGACCAGATACCAAAAACAGATGTACCTCTCTTCAGTGGCACAACCTTGACCTTTTCTTTTGTTAGTGAGACATTTTTGTGTGGTATTTCTGCCTCTGTAAAAAATGAATTAGGATAATAAATTGCTTCATTATTTAAACATGAACATAGCTGCTGATTATTGTCCACTAACCTTTCACTAGTGGAGTTGTTTTTTTCTTGAGTGGAGCAGGTTCTATGTAAAGAGATTTTAGGTTTGTCATTCCAGAAAATAAGATGACAGATTGGAATCATAATGCTAAATACAAAGCACAGCTTACCTCTCTTTGTTAGAACTGGTTTAGGCTTCTGTTTTGAAACCTCAGCTGCTAAAGAAATGGATATAAAAATAAAATTGGAAAAAATACATATACAGTATGTAACTGGAGTTCAAGATGTAGTTAGTTTGATATTTGACTGAATCAACTCACTAAAATATGGAAGAATATTTAATAATTAACACATATAACCCCCCCAAAATTACCTTTTTTCATAGGAACTATTTTGACTCTCCCTTTCACAAGAGAGGCATTTCTGGGAGGGCCCTCTTGTTCTGTCAGCAGGAATTTGGAAATTAAATACACATACAGTGTGTAATTGCAGTTCAAGATGTAGTTAGTTTGATATCTATATACATTATAACATACACTTACAATTAATCATTTCCTCTTTGGCGATGACAACATTATTAAGAAGATGGAACTGAACAAATAATTTGTGTGTTACCTTTCTCAGCAGGAGCTGCTTTTGCCTTTTCTTTTGAAACTTCTGTGTCACAAAATAGGGAGCAAGCTTTACCTTTTAATTAGTTACTTTTAAAGTAAGAATTTAGGTGTAAGAATTTATATATATATATATATATATATATATATATATTTATATATATTGTAGTATCAGTGAGACTTTGCAATACCTGGTTTAAAGGTTTAAGTTTGAGTTTTTGTTTTGGTTCCTTCTTGGTTTCCTTAGGAGCTGCCACTGGTGGAAAATGATCAAAAAGCCATTAGTTTTAGTTATACATTAAGATCAGTGTTATGTGACACTTTCTTTGAATATATAATTTTTAATGTGTTCTACACAAAAAAGCAAAATATCCAACTAGAATGATTATGGTTAAGTTGAATTCTTGAAAGGGCTGATAAAGGATTGATGAGATATTAATTTATGGAGCATCTAAACAAATAAAGAAAATCTGATTTAATTTACTTTTACAAATCAATTGACAAGTGACACAAAAGAATAAAAGCATGCTCATACCCTTCGTTGCAGGTCCTGGTTTGGCTTTCACTTTAGGAACTTCAGAAACCTCTATTATTGGGGAATATAAAAAAAAGTATTATTCATTACCTGAGCATCACATTAAATCCATTTACACCTACTAAGTCCCAATAAAACATAAAGCAGGGGATAATGAGATCCATGTTTTCAATGTAATATAATATATTATTATTAGACAAGTAGCCTATTCGTTTTTATTCCTCATGGTAAAGATTCAGTGATTACCTATTGTTTATTATCTCACACACTGTGGCATAAAGTGCACATACAGTTACACACACTGTTACTTTCTGTTATTTACCTGTTTTTGTAACATTCACATGTTCCTTTTTCAGGACAGCAACTATCTGCTTTTTCGAAGCCTTCAGTACCTTTACTGCCCTCTTGGGTTCATCAGCTGAAATAGACAGCAGAAAGCTTGTGATCCAATTTCAGTTTCTATAGTATTTTGTTCAATTTATTTATTTATTTTTTTACATGGCATTGTATTGCTGGTAAAGTCTGACTGGTATCTTTCCATAAAGCTGTAAGATGTATATATTAATTACTTTAGCAATACCTTCAAAGAGATTATTTGTTTATGATGTGTTTTTTGTGGAAGACTATAACCCTTTTAAAGAGGTGGTATTATGCTTTTTGTCTTTTTCCCTCTCCTTTATTGAGTTATATATCTTTTTTGTGCATATAACAGGTTTGCAAAGTGAAAAAGCCCAAAGTCCAGCCCAAAGGGAGTTCCCATCTCCCACAGAAAGCTCTGCTCTGAACCGCTTGAAAACAGCTCGTTTGTAGTCCAGCCTTCTCTTCCTTTACTTGTGACGTCACAATGAAAACGAGTCATAAAGCTTGCCAAGCAGCTTGCGGGGTCAGGCACGCCCTCAAACCAGGCTAGTCTGAGCGGAGGTGCTTTGGCTCGACTCGCCTTTGTCTGGTTTTCCTTTGTAGAAATGTTGTACCTGTACCTCCTTCCAGGTACTTTTTTTCATATCACCTCACCTCCGTTGAGGTTCCAAGCGAGCTGAGGGATACTAAAATGTAAGGTGAAAACACGACAGACGGCTGATTGGTCAGAGAGAATCACTATTCACTGCATCATCATTGCTTGCACCAGACAGAAGCCAGCAACAGAAAGTTTTATATTTTACAGTTTTCGTATGGAATTTCATCACTAAATCCACTTCTGAGACGTTTTGAGGTGAGAAATCAGCTGTGTAGATTTCTAATATTGACAGTTTTACGAGAAGTGATGGCGGAACAAAATGTGCTTTAATGTTTTCGGAGTTGAGGAGCTCCGCAAGTGGCTGCGGGGGAAGCCTGTGTCAACCCGCGGGAGGAGCGTGTGAGGCCGGCCAGCCGCCCGCTCACAGAGCCCTCTGCCCCCGCCGTCACACAGACCGCTGCAGCAACAACGGCAGAGGAAAACACAGCTGGAAGGTTTTCATATCGCTTATCTGTCTTTACATTCTGAGTAATGTTGAAACGCTTTAACTTAAAAAAGAGAAAGCTGTGTGGATCGCTGGTGTGTGAGTCATATTGAACATTACATCACTGCAGTTGTGTGTGGTGTTGCTATGACGACAAGCTACGTATCTCTGGGTACTACCTGCAATGGAAAACGGAGCAGGGCCGAGTAGAGTCGAGTCTATCAATTTGCGCTGGTATCGATGGTAGCTTTTTTCGGCAAGGCAGCATAGATCGTCAGAACACCGGCAACAGTTCAACGTTAAGTCGTAATGTTAAGATGTGGAACAATGATGTTGTGGACTGGTAATAACTTATACCATCTGCTAGGTTACGGTCGCAGTCTGAAGCGGCTTTGATTTGGATCACACTAACTTGTTTCTTACAACCCACCCTTCTCTGCTTCTGATTGTCTAGTAGTCCTTACCTGGGAACTGCGCATGTGCAACTTCCAACAAAGATTTTGTACAAGTATGATGAAAAACAACCAAGTGTAAGCTGTGTCACTGCAACATTCATCAAACACAATCCCCAAGGATAAAATGTCACTGTGACATGTTCTTTTACATAATTTATTGTCTCACCTGCTTTTGTAACATTAAAATGTTCCTTCTTCAGGACAGATGCAACCTCCTTCTTGACTCCTTTAATCCTCCTTACAGCCCTTACTGGTCCAGCGTCTGAAATAAAAAGGCAAAGCTGATTGAACAGTTTCACATAAATTATACAGAAGAAAAAAATATACCCGTCATTGAATGAAAGGAAACCTATCAATCTATTTAGCCTTTAGGCTCCAGTCTGGCGTCTCTTTGGGACCCCCTATGAGTAAGCACATCTAAAGTACATCTAATGCTAACAAATATTGTATTGTTCTGAAAACTGTACATGTATTGTAACAGTAGGCTATTTTTAGCCATGATCACTGTATGGCTCTATAGATGGCACTATCAGTCTGCTGCTCGTCCAGACATAAGAAATACCTCAATTTTGTACAGACATTCATGGTTCCCAGACAACAACTCCTACTAACTTTGGCAAGCCACCACTAGTGCCTCCACCAGGCTTATATTTTTAGGTTGTTAGTGAAATATTTTGACAACTATTGGATTGAATGACATTTATGTTCCTCTGAGAATAATTTTCGTAATTACTTCCATTGAACTTTCATCTAGCGCCATCATCAGGTCCCAATTAAAATTTCTTCTTTACTGGTATTTATGGTAAAATACCTGTTAAACAAATTTAACAGAGCTGCTAGCATGGCTGTAGGCTTAGTATCGTTAATGGAATATACACTCACCTAAAGGATTATTAGGAACACCATACTAATACTGTGTTTGACCCCCTTTCGCCTTCATAACTGCCTTAATTCTACATGGCATTGATTCAACAAGGTGCTGAAAGCATTCGTTAGAAATGCTGGCCCATATTGATAGGATAGCATCTTGCAGTTGATGGAGATTTGTGGGATGCACATCCAGGGCACGAAGCTCCCGTTCCACCACATCCCAAAGATGCTCTATTGGGTTGAGATCTGGTGACTGTGGGGGCTATTTTAGTACAGTGAACTCATTGTCATGTTCAAGAAACCAATTTGAAATGATTCAAGCTTTGTGACATGGTGCATTATCCTGCTGGAAGTAGCCATCAGAGGATGGGTACATGGTGGCCATAAAGGGATGGACATGGTCAGAAACAATGCTCAGGTAGGCCGCGGCATTTAAACGATGCCCAATTGGCAATAAGGGGCCTAAAGTGTGCCAAGAAAACATCCCCCACACCATTACACCACCACCACCAGCCTGCACAGTGGTAACAAGGCATGATGGATCCATGTTCTCATTCTGTTTACGCCAAATTCTTACTCTACCATCTGAATGTCTCAACAGAAATCGAGACTCATCAGACCAGACAACATTTTTCCAGTCTTCAACTGTCCAATTTTGGTGAGCTCTTGCAAATTGTAGCCTCTTTTTCCTACTTGTAGTGGAGATGAGTAGTACCCGGTGGGGTCTTCTGCTGTTGTAGCTCATCCGCCTCAAGGTTGTGCGTGTTGTGGCTTCACAAATGCTTCGCTGCATACCTCGGTTGTAATGAGAGGTTATTTCAGTCAAAGTTGCTCTTCTATCAGCTTGAATCATTCAGCCCATTCTCCTCTGACCTCTAGCATCAACAAGGCATTTTCGCCCACAGGACTGCAGCATACTGGATGTATTTCCCTTTTCACACCATTCTTTGTAAACCCTAGAAATGGTTTTGCGTGAAAATCCCAGTAACTGAGCAGATTGTGAAATACTCAGACCGGCCCGTCTGGCACCAACAACCATGCCACGCTCAAAATTGCTTAAATCACCTTTCTTTCCCATTCTGACATTCAGTTTGGAGTTCAGGTGATTGTCTTGACCAGGACCACACCCCTAAATGCATTGAAGCAATTGCCATGTGATTGGTTGACTAGATAATTGCATTAATGAGAAATTGAACAGGTGTTCCTAATAATTCTTTAGGTGAGTGTATAAGGATAGTCAATGGATCTTTATATTGTGTAATTGCTGAAAACATTGTATTGCTGGCCTATAAATACCTGTCGTAGTGTCTCTCTTCTTGACAGGTTCTTTGTCTTTGGGAGTCTTCTTGATTTTTTTCTCTTCCTTAGAAGGCTTTGTTGGTTCTCTTTCTCCCTCAGAGATCTTCTTTGGTTCCATTTCGTCTTTGGGAATCTTCTTGACCTTGACCTTGACCTTTGAAGGTTTCTCTTTGGCTTGCTCTTTAGAGGGCTTCTTTGGTTCTGTCTCTTCTTTGGAAGGCATCTTAGGTTCTTTTTCTTCCTTTCTGGACAGTCTTGTTGTTCTTTTTTCTTCTTTAAAAGGTTTCTCTGTATCTTGTTTTTCTTTGGAAGGACCATCTTGCTTGTCCTCCTCTTTCAACTCTTTAGAAGTCTCAGCTGGTTGTTTCTTCTCTTTGGAAATCTTTTCTGGTTCTGTTTTTGCAGGCTTTGTTACTTCCTTCTCTTCTTTTGGAAGCTTTTTAACTTCTTTGGCCTCTTTATGTGTTTTTTCTGGTTCCTTCTCTTCTTTCAAAGGCTTCCTTTGTTGTCTTTCTTCTTTTGGAGGTGGTATTCCTTCCTTCTCTTCCTTGAGATACTTTTTGACCTCTTGTACCTCTTTAAGCTTTGTTGGTTCTTTCTCTTCTTTTGCTAAGTCTTTCTCTTTTTGTGGAGGTTTTTCCTCCACAGAAGGCTTCAGGTCTTTTTCCTTCTTTATAGGCTTCTTCACTTCTTTTTCCTCCACAGAAGGCCTTTTCTTTGCTTTCTCTTCCTTGAAAGGCTTCACATCTTTTATCTCTTTAGAGGGCTTCTTTATTTCTTTCTCCTTCTTAGGTGGCTCCCTTTCTAACCTATCTTCTTTAGAGGGTTCCTTTACTTCTTTCCTGTCCTTAGAAGGTTTCTTTACTTCCTTCAGTTCTTTAGGCTTCACCTCTTTGTCTATTTTCTCCTCTTGGGGCCTTTTCAGTTTTTTCTCTTCCTTAGCTGGTTCCAAGTCAACATCTTTAGTTGGTTTCTTGACTTCTTTCTCTTCTTTGGGATGTGTCGTCTGTTCTTTTTCCTCTTTCAGAGATTTCTTCTCTTTTTCTTCTTTAGGTGGTTTCTTGACTTCTCTCTCTTCTTTGGGATGTTTCTTCACCTCTTTCTCGTCTTTTGGAGTTTTCTTCTCTTCTCTCTGATCTTTGAGAGGTTTCTTGACTTCTTTCTCGTCTTTGGAAGGTTTCTTGACTTCTTTCTCTTCTTTAGGTGGTTTCTTTACTTCTTTATCTTCTTTGGATGGTTTCTTGACTTCTCTCTCTTCTTTAGGTGGTTTCTTGAATTCTTTCTCCTCTTTAGGAAGTTTCTTGACTTCTCTCTCTTCTTTAGGTGGTTCCTTGAGTTCTTTCTCTTCTTTAGAAGGTTTCTTGACTTCTTTCTCTTCTTTGGGTCGTTTCTTGACTTCTTTCTCTTCTTTAGAAGGTTTCTTTACTTCTTTCTCTTCTTTGGGTGGTTTCTTGACTTTCTCTTGTTTAGGTGGTTCCTTGACCTCTTTCTCTTCTTTAGAAGGTTTATTGACTTCTTTCTCTTCTTTAGGTGGTTCCTTGACCTCTTTCTCTTCTTTAGAAGGTTTATTGACTTCTTTCTCTTCTTTAGGTGGTTCCTTGACTTCTTTCTCTTTTTTAGGTGGTTTCTTGACTTCTTTCTCTTCTTTGGGTGGTTTCTTGACTTCTCTCTCTTCTTTAGGTGGTTTCTTGACTTCTTTCTCTTTAGATGGTTTCTTGACTTCTTTCTCGTCTTTGGATGGTTTCTTGACTTCTGTCTTGTCTTTAAGTGGATTCTTGACTTCTCTCTCTTCTTTAGGTGATTTCTTAACTTCTCTGTCTTCTTTAAGTGGTTTCTTGATTTCTTTCCCTTCTTTGGATGGCTTCTTGACTTCTTTCTCTTCTTTGGATGGTTTTTTTACTTCTCTCTCTTCTTGAGTTGGTATCTTGACTTCTTTCTCTTCTTTAAGTGGTTTCCTGACTTCTTCCTCTTCTTTAGGTGGTTTCTTGACTTCTTTCTCTTCTTTGGATGGTTTCTTGACCTCTTTCTCTTCTTTAAGTGGTTTCCTGACTTCTTCCTCTTCTTTAGGTGGTTTCTTGACTTCTTTCTCTTCTTTGGATGGGTTCTTTACTTCTCTCTCTTCTTTAGTTGGTATCTTGACTTCTTTCTCTTCTTTAAGTGGTTTCCTGACTTCTTCCTCTTCTTTAGGTGGTTTCTTGAATTCTTTCTCTTTTTTGGATGGTTTATTTACTTCTCTCTCTTCTTTAGTTGGTATCTTGAGTTCTGTCTCTTCTGTAAGTGGTTTCTTGATTTCTTTCCCTTCTTTGGATGGTTTCTTTACTTCTCGCTCTTCTTTAGGTGGTATCTTGACTTCTCTCTCTTCTTTAAGTAGTTTCTTGACTTCTTTCTCTTCTTTGGATGGTTTCTTGACTTCTTTCTCTTCTTTAGAAGGTTTCTTTACTTCTTTCTCTTCTTTAAGTAGTTTCTTTACTTCTCTCTGTTCTTTAGAAGGTTTCTTGACCTCTCTCACTTCTTTGGATGGTTTCTTGACTTCTCTCTCTTCTTTAAGTGGTTTCTTGACTTCTTTAAGTAGTTTTTTGACTTCTTTCTCTTCTTTGTGTAGTTTCTTGACTTCTTTCTCATCTTTGGATAGTTTCTTAACTTCTATCTCTTCTTTTGGTGGTTTCTTAACTTCTTTATCTTCTTTAGAGGGTTTATTGACTTCTTTCTCTTCTTTGGATGGTTTCTCAACTTCTTTCTCTTCTTTAAGTAGTTTCTTTACTTCTCTCTGTTCTTTAGAAGGTTTCTTGACCTCTCTCACTTCTTTGGATGGTTTCTTGACTTCTATCTCTTCTTTAAGTGGTTTCTTGACTTCTTTCTTGTCTTTAAGTGTTTTCTTCACTTCTTTCTCTTCTTTAGTTGGTTTCATTTCTTTAAGGGCTGCCTTCATTTCTTTCTCTTCTTTGGGTGGTTTCTTCACTTCTTTCTCTTCTTTGGAAGGTGTCTTGACTTCTCTCTCTTCTTTTGGTGGTGTCTTAACTTCTTTGTCTTCTTTAGAGGGTTTATTGACTTCTGTCTCTTCTTTGGATGGTTTCTCGACTTCTATCTCGTCTTTAAGTAGTTTCCTGACTTCTCTCTGTTCTTTAGAAGGTTTCTTGACTTCTCTTTCTTCTTTAGGTGGTTCCTTGATTTCTCCCTCTTCTTTAAGTGGTATCTTGGGTTCTTTCTCTTCTTTGGATGGTTTCTTGACTTCTTTCTTGTTTTTAAGTGGTTTCTGGACTTTTCTCTTTTCTTTAGGTGGTTTCTTGAGTTCTTTCTCTTCTTTAGTTGGTTTCATTTCTTTAAGGGCTGCCTTCATTTCTTTCTCTTCTTTCTGTGGTTTCTTGGCTTCTCTCTCTTCTTTTGATGGTTTCTTAACTTCTTTGTCTTCTTTAGAGGGTTTATTGACTTCTGTCTCTTCTTTGGATGGTTTCTCGACCTCTATCTCGTCTTTAAGTAGTTTCTTGACTTCTCTCTGTTCTTTAGAAGGTTTCTTGACTTCTCTTTCTTCTTTGGGTGGTTCCTTGAGTTCTCTCTCTTTTTTAGGTGGTATCTTGAATTCTTTCTCTTCTTTGGATGGTTTCTTGACTTCTTTCTTGTCTTTAAGTGGTTTCTGGACTTTTCTCTCTTCTTTAAGTGGTTTTTTGACTTCTTTCTCGTCTTTAGTTGGTTTCATTTCTTCAAGGGCTGCCTTCATTTCTTTCTCTTCTTTGGGTGGTTTCTTGACTTCTTTCTCTTCTTTGGAAGCTTTCTTGACTTTTCTGTCTTCTTTGGGTGGTTTCTTGATTTCTTTCTCCTCTTTGGATGGTTTCTTGACTTCTCTTTCTTCTTTGGGTGGTATCTTAACTTCTTTCTCTTCTTTAGGTGGTTTCTTGACTTCTTTTTCTTCTTTGGGTGGTTTCTTGATTTCTTTCTGTTCTTTTGGAGGTTTCTTTACTTCTGCCTTGTCTTTGAGAGGTTTCTTCACTTCTTTGTCTTCTTTAGGTGGTGTCTTGAGTTCTCTCTCTTCTTTTGGTGGTTTCTTGACTTCTTTCTCTTCTTTGGAAGCTTTCTTGACTTCTTTCTCTTCTTTGGAAGCTTTCTTGACTTTTCTGTCTTCTTGGGTGGTTTCTTGATTTCTTTCTCCTCTTTGGATGGTTTCTTGACTTCTCTTTCTTCTTTGGGTGGTATCTTAACTTCTTTCTCTTCTTTAGGTGGTTTCTTGACTTCTTTTTCTTCTTTGGGTGGTTTCTTGATTTCTTTCTGTTCTTTTGGAGGTTTCTTTACTTCTGCCTTGTCTTTGAGAGGTTTCTTCACTTCTTTGTCTTCTTTAGGTGGTGTCTTGAGTTCTCTCTCTTCTTTTGGTGGTTTCTTGACTTCTTTCTCTTCTTTGGAAGCTTTCTTGACTTCTTTCTCTTCTTTGGAAGCTTTCTTGACTTTTCTGTCTTCTTTGGGTGGTTTCTTGATTTCTTTCTCCTCTTTGGATGGTTTCTTGACTTCTCTTTCTTCTTTGGGTGGTATCTTAACTTCTTTCTCTTCTTTAGGTGGTTTCTTGAGTTCTCTCTCTTCTTTTGGTGGTTTCTTGACTTCTTTCTCTTTAGTTAGCGCCCTGCCTTTCTTCTCTTCTTTAGGCGGTGTCTTGACTTCTTTCTGTTTTGTAGATGGTTTCTTGACTTCTTGTTTTTCTTTAGAGGGTACGGTGACTTGTCTCTTATCTTTAGGTTTTGCTATTTCTTTCTTCTCCTTAGTAACCTTCTTTACTCCCGCCTCCTCTTTAGACGTTTTATTTGCTTTTTTGTCTTCAAAAGGCTTTGGTTCTTCCTCCTTTTTAGGCTCTCCTTCAAAAAGAAATCATCACAGTGTCATTGTCAGTACCGTTAGATGTCTCTAACAGACTATCTTAAAACTGGACAAAGTATCCTATTCCCTTTGTGTACAAGTGGAGATTTGTTTAGAGAAACATATACTATTGGTATATATCTGTTTTTCACCACTATTAGCAGTATGTGCTAATATTGCTAAATAATGCATATGGTTATACAAATTATGATGTAGCAGTATCTGTTGTGATACATTTCATATTTTGTATATTATAATATTTTGTACTTTTACAAGTGTAAATACCTTTGGGCTCCTGTGATTTCTTCTCAAGGGATTTGGCCTCCTCCTTTGACTTTTCTTCTGTTAGTTTTATCTCTTCGACTTCCTCAAGTTTGGCTTGCTTCGCTTTTTTCTCCTTTTCAGTTTCTGTGGCTTTAAGGTCTGTAAGCAACAATAAATCTTCATAGTCAAAACTGTCAGGTGCTTGTGTGCATAGAGAAAATTTTTGTTTTCACTGAATTGTACCAAATGAATGCATTGAATTAGAACATACAAAACTGATTTTTGGGAGTGAGCAAAGTGAAGACGGCGCAGAGTCAAGAATGTTACCTTTAATAATGGCATCTTTAACTTCTTTTATTGCGTGTCTATCCTTTGCCTCTTTGAGAACTAAAGTATATTATACAGAAATATGTAAAATTATACAGTACTTAACAAATGCAATCAGACCTGTCATCATGACAATTAATCATGCTTGCATAAGCACTATAAGCACTACAGCGCTAAAACACTATGATCAAAGACACACCAAAAGCTAGATGATGTTATATTATTAAAAGAATCAGACCTAAGTTTTAGAGATACATGACAATTCACTGTGGAGGGTTAGGGTTAGATCATACAGTACATAAGAATGTCATTTCATGTCCTCATCCAGAATTCTATCAATGTTTTTCCTCAGCCTGTTAGCTCCATCTAAATGTCATCTGTACTAATGGCTCACTGCCACCTAAGGCAATGTTCGGTTTAAATCATGAACACTTAAGTACACAATTTGCACCTTGGGAAATAGATTTGTCTTTACTGAGTCATCAAAAAGAAAGTAGCACAGTTAAAGGCACTGGACTATAATAGTCCCATCATCCTCTTTCAGCTAAGTCAGGATGACTTTCTGATCTAAATAAACTTAACCTTCTTATGGCCATCTTTATTTGCTTTTTAGCTATAATTGTCTCTGTAATTAGCTTCTTAAATAAACACCAACAGTTTGGGAAACATGCCCATCTTTACTATCCCTATCTTTATCCCTATCTTTATCCCTGTGTGCCCAGTACAGAGATTTGTCAGGCACAATAATTTATGTTTTCCAGAATGTGAATAGAAGCCATCCATTAAGATACATTATACAATCGGGCACTGAGGTTTTTATGGTACCTTAAGTGCCTTCATGAGCTGTTTGACAGACCCTCTGAGGCAGCTCCCACTGTTGACTGTGTTTATTAGCAGGCCAAATCAGTGGGCCAAACTACAATAACTTCCAATTGTATTCAGGACACAAGCATGCACCTGTCCCTTACACTTCAAATAAGCCTTCCAGCAACTCCAAAATGTCTTATTTAAATGTATCTTAACCTTGTTTTGTATCTTGTAAACTTAGAGCTTAAAGTTACCTGGGTGGCTGTTTGTTTTGTTTTTGGGTTCAACAGCAAGCAAGAGTATTTCCTAAAATGTTGGATTTTTTCTGTGATGAAAATTCCTTTGGTTTAAAACCTTGATGCTTTGCTTCATGATTAACAGTCACAAAACAAATTAATAAACACAATTTTAACAAAAAACACTAAAATGAAAAATATTAACAAATATCTGTTAGGCCTTAAAAACTTTAGTCATGTCACAACCATCTGGCAAAAAGCAATCAATATGTCTTTGGAAATATGTTATGAAAATGTAAAGATGATAAATATTCACACCCACACCTTCATTCATCCACCAACATTTTCATTACCTAATAATATATAAGTATATAGTATAAGTAAATATGTGGTGATTACGGTAAGAGTATTGTACCTTTCTCATGCTTGTGGAGGTGTTCAGCTCTGGCTACAACTCTTCTGAGCCTCTCAATGGGAATACGTACGTTCCTCTTTCGTTTAAGTCCAGTTTTCCCACTTTCACTGTTGTTGTTGTTTTCATCATGATCGTTGATGATGTCGGTGTATTCATCTTGGTCATGAACATTTGTTTCTTCTTCCTCCTCCTCATCAGATCCAGGTACTACACTGGCATTATTGAGTGTTTTAGCTGACAGGATTTTAAGTTCCAGTTGTTGGACAGATGACTCTTTTTCTCCTTCTTCCTCCTCCTCCTCTTCTAAAGCCTCATCATTGTCCAGGTCTAAAGCTTGACCGTCCTGGTTTGTTTTTACAAACTCATCTTTCACATCAGTGTCAATAATTTCAATATTTTCTTCCTCTCTTTCTTCATCACCATGAAGTTCATCTTCCACCAAATCTTCTTTAGTTTTGGCCTCCTCCTCCTCCTCCTCCTCTTCTACTGCATCTTCCTCAGTTTTTGTCTCCTCCTCCTCCTTCTCCTCCTTCTTATCTTCCACCAAATCTTCTTTAGTTTTGGTCTCCTCTGCATCATCTTCTACGGTATCTTCCACCAAATCTTCCTCAGTTTTTGTCTCCTCCTCCTCCTTCTCCTCCTTCTTATCTTCCACCAAATCTTCTTTAGTTTTGGTCTCCTCCGCATCATCTTCTACGGTATCTTCCACCAAATCTTCTTCAGTTTTTGTCTCCTCCTCCTTATCTATCACCAAATCCTCTTCAGTTGGGGTCTTCTCCTCCACAGCTTCTACCACATCTTCTTCAGTTTTTGTCTCCTCCTCCTCCTCCTTTTCCACCAAATCTTCTTCAGCTGTGGTCTCCTTCTCCTCATCTTCTACAGCATCTTCTTCAGTTTTGGTCTCCTCCTCCTCATCTTCTACTGTATCTTCTTCTGTTTTTGTTGCCACCGCCTCCTCCTCCCTTTCTACCAAAATGTCTTCAGCTTTAGACTTCTCCTCCTCTTCCTCATCTTTGACCACCTCTTCTTCTGTTTTTGGCTCCTCCTCCTCCTCTTCTTCTACCCCAGCCTCTTCTGTTTTAATATCTTCCTCTTCTTGTTCTAATTCATCAGCCTCTGTTTTGAATTCCTCCTTTTCTGTACCAACAGCTTCATTGTCTTCTTTCTCCTCCACCTCCTCATCTGATTTATGATCTTCTTCCTCAGTATCAACCTCTTCTGCCTCTTCCTTCTTTCTTTCCTCCTTGCTTTCATCAACAAGGATACCGTCATCTTCCAGTGATGGTTTATGTTCTGTTTCTTCGAGGTCGACATGTTTCACTAGTGATGTGACAGTAAAAATTTGTGCCTGTTATTGATCTTGTACGTGACTAATGAATGTGACGTTTAAAGAAAAACCATGCGAATACCATCGTCTTCCTCTGCCACTCTCACATCTGCTTCATTGACAGCTTCAGTAGGAACTTCAGCCTCCTCCTTCTCCGCCATCTTTGAGTCTGGGGCTTCACTTAACTCTGCAGCGGGAGCAGCTTCATCTTTGGCAGCGTGCATGATCTCTGCAACTGTATCATCAACCCATGTGACCTGTCTTATCTGACCTTGACATCTTTTACATGGAAATGCTCCTACAAACTTGTTTTCAGGTACAGAAGGAATTTGATGGGGTGAAATTGGAGTAATGACAATGACCATAACATCAAATAGTACACACATGCTGCAGCTGATGGCTTTCCACAATATCATTCAAATGAATACATACAATACATCCCAGACATACATACATATAGTGTTACATACAGTTGGTCAATCACTCAGTTGTACAGAAGATGCTTGGAAGACGCAGGAGAAGACAACAAAAGAAACTCCAAAGGACACATATTAAAGACAATTTTTCATGCCCAGTATAACGAAGAAATGACAAATTGTTTAACACACACGATGAATAGAACAAAAACAATGGCAAAATATGTGAACTGAGGGAGAGATGCAATTACCAAATCCATTACAACTTGGTTGCACATTAATTGCAATTAAAGTATACAGTAGTTATGATGCATATTTGCTCATGCTATGATTTAATGAATTCAAAGTGGAGTTTTATTCAAACACGATTGACATACAGTTTCATCATACTTCAGGTGGGCTGTATTACACTAAACACGTCATAAGACAGACTTGAGACCAGTTCGTACAAAGTGGTGGATCAATGCGAACATGCATGAAAGGCCACTATTTGCTGGCAACACACACATTGCACCTGTCCAAAATATTTTGTATCCTGCAATATATGGTGGTATTTTCTTACCTTTTTCAAAAGGTGGCAGAAATTCACCTATATTTCAAAGAAGATAATGAAAGACAATTGGCTTCTAAAAAGTAATTTGTAGTGGTACAGCTAGGAAAAATGGAAAAATATTTGTCATTACTCACCTTTCCTTTTTACCAAATGTAAATCAGATGGGGAAGCTACAGTTTTATCTAAACAAAGAGAAGAAAAAGACAAGTGTGCAAACGTGGTGTAATTTGCAGTCATAGGCTCTTAAGATGCTTTTAGGTGGATTAAAACTGTAATAAAAAGTCAAACCTTTTTCAGTTACCACATTTACACCCGGTGTGGCAGCAGGTTCAGCTATAACAAGAAGCGGCAATATGGTAAAATATGCATTAAGGTATCAGTTCATTTTTAAAAATATGTGTATCGTTATCTTTCTTAAAGCATACCTTGATCACCAACAAGCATGCTCGACATGTAAGCGTTGAACAAATCTTTCTTGTCTGTGAACTCTAACATGGCATCTTGAACAACTTTCATGGGGTCAATGGACACGTCAGGCATGATCCCTGAAATATCAGCACACCACAAAGTCAGCTAAAGCTGCTGTTCATAATACTAAAAAACACACCTTCAGATTGTTTCCTATTTCTTCTTTTACCATACTTATTCATGTCATTGTATCTCTTAGTTCAGAGAGAAGGATGAGTAATTACATCAAATGCAAACACATTGATATACCTGCAACCGTGATGCAACGTAGCTAATTTGTAAATAATATGGTATGACATGTTAAAGCAGACCTTGTTCACCAATCAGCATGGTGGAGACGTAGCTCACAAGCATGTTTATCTGCTCTGTGGTGATTTCTGCTGTTCTCTTAAGAACTGACATGGGGCTGAATCCCAGAGCATGCTGGATACCTGGTCAACAGAAGTAAAAACTACAGTTAGCAGGCTACAGTATACATTGTAGTAGTGGTCAAAGAAGTAATCAGATCCTTTTACTTAAGTAAAGGTACTAATACCACACTGTGAACATACTTCTTGCATTCAAAACCCTATTAAGTAGAAGCATGTAAGTATTAGCAACACAATTGTACTTATTTTATATAAAAGTAAAAATACTTATTATGCAGTAACACGGTGATCAGTGTTTTTCCTAATATACAATGTCTTTGGATTGTTGGAAGTTTACTGTTAATTAATATGTATGTTGCATTTTACTGCTGTAGTTGTTTTAATTACTTTATATACTGTTGGGTAGTTTAATCTACAGCAATGCATCATATTCTTTAAAATCATCATCATCATGTTTGCAGTGTCACTCTCCTGTAACAACCACATGTCAGCTTTTAATGCCCTCAGAAAAACAGCCCTGTTGTTAGTTTTGTCACAACGAATTTTCCAGCTAATCTATTAGGAGTTTTAAAGAAACACTTAATCCTTCAGTCTTTCAGAAAAATCCAAATTCAAAATCACCAAATTAGGAGATACATGGTTTTCGCTGGACAGGAAGGGTATGAAAAATTATAATCTGAAAAGTAACTAGTAACTAAAGCTGTCCGAGTAAAAAGTACAACACATGTAGTGGAGACGAAGTATAAAGTTGTATAGTATTAAAATACTCCAGTAAAGTACACTAGTAAAGTAAAAAAAAGTACAGTACTTGAGAAAATGTGCTTGTTACATTTCACCACTGCACTGTAGTGATACACATACATACGTTATATAATGGGTAACAATCATGGTAGATACTGTACCTTGTACTGTGTCCAGTATTACATCCAAGAGTGCACAGAGCATATCATGGATATATCCTGCTATTCCACTCACAAAGTCATTAATAACACTGAAGGCATTTCTGCCAATACCCACGGGGTCAATGAAGCTAACATCAGTGGTTCCTGTGAACAACAACATACATTCAGGCCAAAGCTCCAGTGAGTTACTTCATTCAACAAATCAATCAATAATTATTTGAAAAGACAGATAAAGACCAACAGGAAAAACTATTGCCCAGTAATGAAACATTTTCACTACAAAAAAAACAAATAATAGTTCTACACCCATAACAAACAACATAACATAACAGTTATTGAGTCATAATGTTGACTTGTATGTATTTAGGCAACAAATAAAGATTAAACAACACAGACATAATAGTATTTAACGCAAACTTTGCTCCACAAACAGTGCAAAAGTTAAAATATGAAACAGGTACCTTTTATTATTTCCAGTATACTGTCTAATATGGTACAGAGCACGCCCTGGATGTAGCCCATTATTCCACTCACAGTGTTGTTAGTAACACTAAAGAGATCTCTGCCGACTACCACAGGGTCGATGAAGCTAATATCAGTGGCTCCTGAGGAAAAACAAACAAGTATATGGGATAATTATGTAAAATCAATACTGTATGCTGTGTTACATTGTCATGCTAAGTTGTTAAGAGGTTACATATTAGAGAGACATTAAATGAGGAAAGTAAATACCTTTCACTACATCCAGAATAGTGTCCAAAATGGCACAGAGCACATCCTGGATGTAGCCCACCGCTCCACACATGAGCTCATTAGTAACACTGAAGACACCTCTGCCTACTACCACAGGGTCAATGTAACTAAGGTCTGTTTTCCCTAAGAAAAACATGGGCATTTGTGAGGGAAGAATTAATTTATTAATAATCAAACTAGGCAAGAATGACGAAGCACAGTTTTACTCAAATTTCTGACAAGTTATTAGGATAATTATTAGGTTATTTTTATGAATAAAAGGGGAAGGCAAATTCCTTGGTCAGACATATCCATTGAAACATGGAATACATACCTTCATTTATATCCAATATAGTACCCAATATAGTATCCACAGTAGCACACAGTGTGTCCTTGAAGGAGCCCAAAACTCCACACAGGAAATCATTAGATGAATGGAAAGCTCGTCTTCCAATGACCACAGGGTCAACATAGCTGAGGTAGAAGTTCCCTGTGGTTTTGGTAGGGGGGAGATTATTGGAGTCCCGTTACATAACATGAATGCTAAAACGTTGGCAACTTGTTATTTTCCTGGTAGAGTATGAGGGTGATTTCATACCTTCCTCATCTGAAAAATAGCGAACAAATCCAGCTTTTGCTTCCGATATTTCCTCAGCAGCGTAAGTGGCAGCAGACATGGGGTCACTTAAATCAGGTGCACATTCTAGGGGCCAAGAAATAAGAGTCACATATTACAATAGTTGCTTCAGCACTACTAAAAAGGTGTGGCATGCATGCAACTGTATCACTCACCTTGAAATTTACTGAGCAGACTGGATACTTCATCAACGGCATCGTTTGCAGCTTGCACAGGGTCCGCAATGATTTGATGAATGTCTGAGAATAATAACAGATATATTGATAATTATGCATGTCAGGTTATTGAAGTTATGTGAAGATATACTTTCAGGTATTTGTGACCTACCAGGGACTGCCTTGTACTCCACAAAGTCAAACATCACCACTCCCACCACCAACCAGGACAGGAGGGCAACCAGGGCAATCAGCAGCTCTGCAGACATTCTCAGTTTTCCGAGGAGCCTCTGACCTTTGGACTTGAGAGAGCTGGTCTGTGCTGCCGCTGCTCCATTGGCCCCAATGGCAGAGGAGGAGGAGGCGGGTTTGGCTCCTTTATGTGAAAAAACGATAAAAATAAAAGATACCGAAATCACTCAGAACTCTTGGTCAAACTGTTGCTGCTTGGTCTAACTATTGGTTCTGCTACACTGGAATTGATTGGTCTGTTCTTTTACAGTTTGTAATATAAATGATTAGTGTAATCGACCCAATTCTCACTATATCTAAAACTGTACAGTGGCATGTACATTAACATTGATCACAAGAGGCTACATTCATGTTATCTGTATCACATGTATACATCAGTGGATATGTTGTTATCAGATTTTTTAAATCTCTTAAATATCGATATCAGCATCAGCCTTAGAAATTCATTGTTGGTCAGGCTCCTGAAAATACTCTCCGACAAAACTTCTCTGCTATACACACAGGTCCATTAGCGCAAGTCTCGATTTCGATTATTCCACAAAGCAGCATGTTGAGTCAGCTGGTCTGTCAATTGTTTGCTCATGTTATCATCATCCATTTCTGGGGCTTTAAAGTGGGGAATATTTGTTTGTCTAACATTAAATATTCATGACTAAATAAGCAAATATAATAGTTTAAGTTCTCAAAAGCATCCTTAGTGTTTATTTTTTAGGATTTAACACTCTAAACTGCTTCATCCGGGATTGTGTGGGAGTGGTTTGATCACTCTAATAGGCGCAGGGAAATAAATGACATCACCTTTTTCCAACTGAGCCCAACCCACTTCAGTTTGTTTATTTATTAGACTGAAAAAGCAAAGAGAGCTTGTGTAACATAGCAAACTCACCCTTCGCGCACATCTCCCAGCTGAAACTACGGGGTGGCCAGAGCTATCGCCTCAGGCGGTAAAAAGCAGTAATACGAGACAGTAAGGGCTGCAACACAACCACATAGATGTGTTTGACATAACATCAGAACTGTTACTTCTCCACATTCTGTTGATACTTTTAGTTAATTTTTAAAAATGTTTTAAACTAATATTCAGGCCTTATATTACAAATTGTACATTTAACAGAATATTAAAAGGCTGATTGAGAAAATAGGTTTTAATTTAATTTAATTTAGGATGGGGTTAAGTAATTGATAAACAATAACATATAACTATCTTGAAAATCCTTGTATTAGCAAAGCTCCTGGTGTCTATTAAGATATGATCTTGTAAACAACAAACTGAGAATACCCACCAACTTTAAAAATCTACAGTTCCCCTTTTAAGTTAATGCAACAACTATCTTTAACCCAGTAGCATGGCTGTGGCATGTTTACAAAAATAATGTCCTTTCCTAGCCACATTTCCAATCACATCATGTAGACACTGTGCAGCCAGGAACCACAATGATCACAAAGGATATTTCCTTTGTGATCAAGGGATTTAAACTTTACATGGTGGAGGCAGTGTGTCTGACCTTAGCATTTATCAAATGACAACCTCTGCAAGTGTGATGCATCAACACGTAAACTCATATGCTGATATTGAGGGAATATTGGAATTGAATTAAATTGATTAAGATTGTAGTAGCCTAATAAATATGTATTTATCTGAGATTTCAGTTGGTAACATACTGTCAGATTACAAATCACAAAAGACAGGAATCATCTGTCATTCTCATTTCACCAGGTTATTAATCAAAATATTATCAAATTTGCAATTTTGCCAAGTGCAAAATTCAAAGCAGAAGCTGCAATTTTTTGATGGTAAAATGTTGACAAAACAGTGTGATAATGACATTCTATAGTGCTGCAGAGTTGCCCCTACAAATCCTTTTCTCCAGATGTAAGAAAATATGTTTGTTTGATACAGACCCCAACAAATGTCATGATTGTAATAGTTTTTTCAGTGAAAATTAAATTGTGATGCGAAAATGTAATATCTGTAATTGTAATATCTGTCAAAATAATTGCCACCTGATTTTTTAAACCATATTGTGCAGCCCTAATGCACATGATTCCTATCTGTCTAGTACAGTGGAAAATTCTTGTGATGGCATTTAATAACATTCTTGCCATCAACCAATAGAGTGTAGCAACACTGCTGTACTTTCCAACTTGGACCTGGTGACAAGTTGTTAAGAGACACCTTGAACTCTGAGCATGCCTGACTCATGATTTACCTTCTCATACGCAAATGCTAAAAAAAACTCAAAATAATCCCATCTGTCAACTGAATTATTCCAGATGGACAGTTGTTGTCAGGATTTCACCACAAACTTCTAAAGGAAACCTGGTTACTCAATTCACTCGTGCCCTGAAACTTCGGCAAACAAAATATTACTACATATTTATAATATAATTCTATACTTGTTTGATTAGATTGCATAAAAAAAATAATTTTCTATGGCAATGAATGAAAGTTGCTGAAAACCAGAGGTCAGCTCAGCAACAGGCATGTCTGTCACAGGAGAGCAATACTAATACTCTGGCTACATGATATCCTGTATTTATAGCAACTGACGTTCAACACATTTTCCTGAGAGGACGCACACGATCAAAACATAACCATTTTTTTTATTACATAGCATATATTACTTAGGTTTTCTGTGCTGTAGCAAACAGTAAGTGTTGTTAATCTCAGTCCCGATGCAGGTCTAACACTCCTACCTTCAGCCATGGTGAAATGGAGACAATTTCAGGTATTATCCTTTAAATTGGGGGCAAAGCCTCCTCATGTAGAAGTGAACGGAAAATCGCAGCTTCGGTATGAATCCAATCAGCATCCACTTAAAAATCCCCCCGTTATTAAATTATTCCATTTTCACTTGGTGATCACAGTCTTGTTTCCTGGACCATGTAATCCACAGGTTAGACTTCTCCAAGATAAAAAAAAAAGAAAATCAAACTGTAAGTTTTACAGGTGTTGGGGAATTTGGAGCTGCCAGAGTGGCAGCATTGCAGAGGGGGGTCTGGAGACGGTGGGGCAAAGGAAAGCAACGCAGGGGAAGGAAAGAGCCAAGCTAAGCACAAGGCTGGGTAGGGTGAGGGGGAACAGACAGAATATCCCACCCAGTGTTATTGGTGCCTCACATGGGTATAGGTCAGAGCACAGCATAGGAGGCTTTCAGGTAACTTTATCCCCCAGAAGGTCCCGGTTATTCTTAGCAGGGGCTCTGCACACCAGCTGCTCTGTCGGGCCTTTTTTGGTGGTTGATGGGGGTGTGTGTAAGAGCAGTTGGATGAACTGGGCTCCCCAACTGGTGCCGCACTGTAATCTGCCCACTAAACTGGAACAAATCAGGTGCCCATGATGAGGAATGGACCACAACACAGGTGAAAACTGTAAAAACGGCAAACATTAAACTCACAACACTGGTGGCATCTCCCTCTCACTGCCACTTGTGCTAGTGGTTTATTTTGTTCATGGGGTTTTGATTACACTCCACTTTGTTTTTACATTCTCACATTTGCTTACAAGTGGCCGCTTCAAAATAAACTTGTTTCCCAAAACTACCGCACCAAAGAACCAATGGAAATAGACAGGATATGCGTTAAAGCAACACCATCTTGTGAAGCTTTTTAAAAACCTGCAGCAGCTTTGACTTCTATATTTGTGCTGTAGGCTATTTTGTATGTACAACATACTCTAGAAACGGTTCACAGCGTTAAGAAGTGAAAATAAATAAGTGGAAAGGTATGCAATACTAGCAGCCCTGAGGCTGCACAGTCACAGTGGTGCTTTTAGCTAAATGCTAACATTGGCAGTCATCGGCACTCTAACATGCTCACAATGATAATGTGAACTTGCTGATGCTAAATAATGATAGTATCTTCTTCTATGTGGTGTAACATGACCACCATCTTAGAGTGTTAGCATGCTAAAATTTGCTAATTAGCACTAAAAAAAAAAATACAGCTGATGATGGTGGGAAGTAAGTAGGAGAGGCTACCTATTAGACAAAATACATTTTGACCTGATGCTGAAAAGCTAAATGAATACTCTGAATTCATCCTGAATGCCTGCACCAAATTTCATGACAAGCAATAATTTTTGAGACATGTCAATTAAAACCACAAATGTTAACCTCTTGGTGGCGCTAGAGGAAAAGTCATTAGGATTCATTCTCTGGGAAACATTAATGTCTATAAAATTTCATAGCAATTCATCTAATGGTTTTTAAGATATTTCAGTCTGGACTAACTGGCATTGCCATCAATAGAGCCATGGCGCTAGCTTGTACATGTGTACGGGTACTCAGAGAAAAACCTTTATTGAAACATCTGAAAAACAACTGTACATTAATGTTGTACACAGCTTAGTGCTGTTATTGACTTAGACTGGATCAAGTTTGAGATTTTACACCTACACACACGCACACACACACACACACACACACACACACACACACACATAAACAGGTGTGTCTTTACAGTGCAGCTGCAGAGCTGGTGGGCACAGGTCTGATAATGAGGGTGTGCTCCTTATGTACAGGGGGAGGAACATATCTCTCCTCCCTGAGCAGCCGCAGTAACAAATCCTCAGTATCCTGCGGCCAGCGGTAAACACAAGTGTTTTGAAGCCAACCTGGGACGTGCTTCTGCATGTTTTTTTGAAGTAGAGAAAGGAGTGGAAAAAACTGAGTAACTGCAAAACTTCTCAGTAAAAGCTGAGCTTAGTTATTAAACAAAAAATAATTTCTGACCTGGGATGCATTGAGGAAGAGAAGTGGTATGAATCTAAAATTCAAGCTACCTTGGAGGATGAATTCATTTTGCATCTAGAAAAAAAAAAGATTTCACTTTTAAGTACCTCTCAGGACTTTGTCTCATTTCAACAAAGAGCAAACATTCTCACCATGGAGTGAATATATTTTGTGTGTAGACCATGGCTATCCATTGCACATCCTTCGATGTCTGCCTTATACTTTGGACTGATGGCGATGATAATCAGGGTTGATGGCTGTTAAAGAACCCACACATTTTAGACAGATACCGCTCCAAAAAAAGAGAACTGTAGTATAAAAGCTTCAAATAAAAACAGACACAAAACATTGGACATTGGAATATTTAGTACAAAGTCACAATTAGTCAGTCTTGAGTGATTATCTATTAATACTTCACAGAGTTTATGTGACAATATAACAATAGAGATACTACAATGTACAATCAAGTTATAACTGTGGTATTCACTTACATCTTTCAAGTAACTGTCCTTCCACTTGTTGATATCCATACATCTCATGGGGTTGTCACATAAGTCAGTCTGTGAAATTAAACTCAGGGCTGTAAGTGAAATGTGGAATGGGCTTTTTAGTGACTTTTGAGTGAAGAGGTAGTTGCTTACAGCTGGACGAAAACCTTGCTTTGTGAGGAAGTCTACGAAGGGGACTATCTCTGAAGTAATGTCCGAAGAATTAGTTATGAAAACATTTCCTGAGAAGAGAAGAGATGATAAAATCCAAATTAATCTCACAATATATCCTTTTGTGTCTAGTGCCATTGTACATTAGTAAATTACACTGAATGCCCAGAAAAATAGAAACACCTGTATGCTGTAATACTGCAATACTTACAGTCTTTAAACATTTTTACATTTTTGCTGAGACTACACTGATAAAATTGGTAAGTAGGACTGCATTTTATTGAAAACTTATGTCTAATATTTTGTCCATATTCTGATTTACTGTGCAAGAAACACCTAATGCAGTCCAATTCAACACCACAAAGCCTCACAAATAACTATACAAAATTATAAAATCCAGTAATTTTATACAGAATTGTTGTACTGGATGTAGAGTGATTTTTTTTTTTTGCGAGAAATATTATGATCATTCTTTTAAATTAGTAAAGTGACTCACGGCACTCATCAGGCAGACTGATGGTTCTTGTCTTGTGTGGATATGAGGCGGTAGCCTCTGCTCCCGCTGAGCTCAGGTTCATCACGCTGACCTGTGACAAGCCCTCCATAGGGGGGACAGAGAACTGCGGCACGTTTACAGAGACGCTTCCCTGAGCAAAGCTGTCGTTCATAAAGTTATCTTGACGTTGTAGCCTGAAGGAGCAATAAAGAAAAAACCTACTTCTATTGAATCGTACTTACATGTGATGGGTATCTGCAAAGCAGAGACTGTTGAAGCACCTGGCTCACTGCAATTTTCATAAACACTAACAGTGAGCTTGCATGAACTATATGGATCGGTAGCCTGGCTACAGGCTGATAAAGTCAGGGAGTGCACCTATTTTTTTTTTTGTTTCTGTTATTTTACCAGTGTTGGGAGTCGACCCAGAGTCTTCTGTGCTGCCAAGGAGTAGAGTGGTGACCTGGCTGAGGTGTGTATCTGTTGACTGGATTGAGGTTGTAGTACTGTTCTTCTAATCCAGAGTGAGAACACCTGACATCCATATCTTGATGAAGGTCTGTGGATATAGTTTAAACGTTCTAATGTGACAGCACACAGAGTAACAAGGCAGAAAATGCCTAAAAAAGACACTGCCCAGAGAGAAATATATAGCTCAATTATAATTTTTTTTACATAATAAAAATTCAACTAACAGTGGTGGAAAGTAATTAAGCGTTTACTGTATAATTATACTGTATAATTTTAATTTCAAGTTTTACATACAACACATTTATGAAAATATCTAAGACATTGTTATAGATTAAAATACCCACTGAACATCAATTAGTTGGGTGTGCTGCAAGCAATCGCAGCCTATGTTATTAACATTAAAGTGCTGCTGACAGGTTTTTGCATCAGAAACAATAATACAAGTCTATATAAGAAAACAATCCTGAGGTACTTTTAATACTGTATACATTTTGCAGATAACAATGTTTTTGCAAAGATGTATTGCTACTTTTACTCAAGTAAAAAATCTGAATACTTTTGCTTATGCTCACACCTTCTTACTTACTTACTTTAATCAATAAGACTACATTTTGCCCCTTTCAGTGAAAAAATGAATTAAAAGAAATGTCCTTACCATAGTTCTGCATGTAGGGGTAAGGAGGTAGAAAGGGACTGTAGTGCTGCCACTCGTCATCGGATCTTAGCGGTAAAGGAGGCTCAAGGTGGTCCTCATCACTCTGAAGCTGAAATATGTATTCATCTTCCCGTCTGAATATAAAAAAAACATTATTTTATCCTACATAAATCGTCAAGCAAATCCAAATGATACCCTGTTCTTTAATTGATTACTTAACCAATTTCATCACCTAGTTGTGTCTCTTTTTGTAGGCTCTGTTGCTTCACACTGGTTTAGTCCACAGTCCCAACAAGAGCACTCTCCTCTCGTGTCACCAACTCTGTGCTGCATGAGCTCTTTATGCTGTGCAGCAGCAGCAAGCTGACTCCTAAACCCTTGGTTCGGTTGTGCAACTCTACATAGGCTTTTTTGGCAGAAATAATCTGCATCCATGCAACCAGTTGGTATGAATCTATCATGATGTGGATTAGCATGAAATATTTGGTTTACTGTGACTTCAGGGCTAAAAAGTTGAAGGGATTTCAACTTCACTGACTTATTTGTAGAAGAAAACACTTTCAGTTCTGGTACTTTTTCAGATTTCTCCATCTTAACCAGGTTACTTCGGCAAAGCCTGTAGTCCTGCAAGTAACGGACAGCAGAACAAAATGTTATTTTAACTATACTACTAGTAATCATACTTCCAAGAATTGATTTTTATTCTAATCTATAACAGATAAATATCTGACATTTTTCATGCACAATTTAAGTGCATTTCATGTAATCAGTGAATATACACAGTAGCTACATACCACATGAAAACATATTCTTTCATTAAATGTCTTTTGTACATACCAGACCAAGAGGACTTAAAAGGAAGAGTAACAGTGAGCTACCAGTTCTCTGCTGGATTCTTTACACTTCTGTTGGTGCAGAGGCGTGTGTGTTACAGACTGCTATATGCAAATTCTTCACTTCTTCAGCTGCGTCCAATCAGAACCAAGAATGTAGTGCTTGTCTTGCTCAGCCAGCTTAGCAGATTGTCAAGGAAAGATTAGTTTAGGAGGATAACATTCTCATTCTTGGAATTTACTGTTCAAAAAAAATTTTTCTAAATGATTTTTACGAAAGGATATTATTTAATTATAGTAGAGTAACACTGAAAAGGGTGCTACATTACATTATAGCAATGCTCTTCAAGAGGCTATATACACATACAATTCCACAAGTAATCTTAAATTCACTGTTGTAGTCAGAACAGAAATTCCATACAATTAAAAAGCTCAAATCTTGATCAAAAAAAGAACACAAATTAAACAGGTATTAAATTAAAGATTGCTCCACTATCCTATAAGCAGTTCATTGCTCAGTAATAGGCGGGTGACACCTACTAACTGTTTTGCATATATTCTCAGCTCAGTCATGTTGTCTTTGTCAGCCTGAGGAAAAAAACTTCTTTAGCTTTAAAAGCAGTTATTGACAAGTGTTTCCACGGGTTAAGACCACAGGACGATGGCAAGATTGTTTATTTGAAAACCAGTTGTGTACAAGTAACAGACAGAGACAATAAATAATGCAGAGACCAAAAACATTTTCTGTATATCTACAGAATTAGGGTCAAAAAGTGATACAAAACCTAGTTTTTGCTCACATTTCCACCCATGAAAAGCAACTTAAATACATACAGAAATGGTGTATTGTCCTGGAGCTCATCTTCTCGCCCATAGAGAGAAGTCTGACACTACAGATTTCCCTGGAAAACTCACATAATTATGCTATCTTGACAACATACAAAACTGGCAAGCCTATGTGGAGTTGCACAAGTGAACCAAGAGTTTAGGAGTCAGCTTGCGCCTGCTGAAATGTTGAGCAAAATAAAACAATGAAATAAACATGTTTGGTCTCATAAACAACATGTTATTTCGAGGTACACATTATAAAGGGACAAACACAGGTACACAGGTCCTTCATTCCTGTCATGTGAGTTTGTCTGTTTGGCTGCTGAAGCGAAAAGACAATGCAGAACAGCCTGCTGCCATACAATAATGCAACATACATTTTAAAATATTGCCAGTATAATAAGCAGTCAGCTGATAAACAGTTGCAGTCGGAGAAGAAATCAGCCTCCTTTTTCAACTACAAAAAGCTGAACTAAAAGTTACTTTAAGCCAATCTCTAAATAATTGGCTGAAGCTGAAATGCAATGAATGCACGTAATGTTAATGCAGACAGCATACAAGTATGGGTGGAAGAGTCCATGATGCACTAAGTTAGTGTTAAAAAGCATGAAGGCATTCCCTTACATTTTAAGAATATTACTAAACATGAAAAGGCAAGAACAGGTGTTATCATACATCTAAGTTCCTTGAGAAGAGAAGAGCAGTATTATTATATTAACCTTGTAAAAAAAGGTCAGTGGACTTCCAGAAAAACGTTCTGAGATACTTCGGTCCACGGTGTCTAACTATTACCATTCCTACAATTGTCAATGTCATGATCTCTTTCCAACTGTGAGGCTCACAAGCTTTTCTACAAGCTGCAAATCTGAAATAACTTTGACCTTGGATTAAAAAAAAAATCCACACATTTCCAAAATATCAAAAGTAATATAAAATGAAACAAAAAAAGAAGAGATAAGTAAACAAGCAATTTATATTTACACTAAATACAAGTTACACAGCACAAGTCATCTCATTCGTCCATGGCAGTCACTTTTAACTCTTCAGTCATCAGTGCCCCCTCCCACCTCCAATACATCCTTTGATTTGATAGTCAGTATGCTATCAGAGCAGCATCTGTCCCCGTTTGTATGAAACACGGAAGTCAAGAAGTCAGTCGATGAGCTTTTAAGATCATTACAGCCACAGGATGAGTGAGAGAATTGGTGGAGTCTGGCTCCCTCTGGTGGAAAAGCCAGTGAAATGACATGAGATGAGGGGCAGCGGTGCTCAAAGATTATCCCCCGGCTGGTACTGAGGCTCAGTGGCAGTGAAGTAGTCCTCCAAAAAGGCCTGCAGGTATTCAAAGGTGGGCCTCTCCTCTGGGTCTTTCTTCCAGCACTGCACCATCAGCTCATGCAGGGACGTGGGACAGTCCTGAGGGCACGGCATCCGGTAGCCTCGCTCTACCTGCTCCAGGACCTCGCGGTTGTTCATGCCTGGAGGGAGGAATGTGGAAAAATGAATTAACTCTCTCCTTCACGAGCTCTTTCAGTTTAAAATAAATGTATTGGAGGTTCACAGAAGCAATGTCAAGAAATGCTGAATGCAGGAACTCAAAATTAGAGTGAATACAGAAATAAGACTAAAAATGCTGTTTAAAGCACTAAAAGCTAGTAAGTGGACGTTTTTGTTAACATACTGTATACTGTTCCAAAACCTTGAGAATTACCTTCCATGCTTAATAATAGAATGGACATAAAATTTACTCAAATTAGAGGTAATTAGAGTCTGACTAATACT